GCCGCCTCAGCACAACGTGATCATGAGGTCGGATTTGCAGTATCCGATCGCCTCCATGGCCAGCTGCTGTGTGAACCAACAGGCATCCGCGCGCGATTGATGAATGTTCGCCTACCACTCAGGGCAGGAAAGTTTGTCACTTATCTAAGCACGTAGGGTCCGACTATGTGTTTTCCTGATGACACGCGTGATCAAGTCTACACTCAGCTATCCTCCGTGATACGGTCTGTGCCGAGGAGCGATCGACTATTTCTGCTGGGTGATTTCAACGCGCGTTGAGCGTGATGCACCGGTGTGGACAGATGTTATCCGTCCCCATGGCATTGGTCCAGTGAATACGAACGGTTACACGCTGCTCTCACCGTGTGCCACTCACGGCCTGACGGTCACAAACACTCGGTTCGTACTGAGTGCGAGTGATATAGCAACTTGGACGCACCCACAAAGTGGTCACGCTCACCCGCTCGACCATGTCAGCGTGCCATGCGTGAAGTGCGCATGACACTTGTACTGCTTGGAGCTGAGTGTGGCACTGATCACAAATTGGTGCGGACCAAACTGTACATATACTTTCGTAAATCTATGTGTTGCAATCCCGCCGTGAATCGGCGTAAATTTAACATACATGCCCTCGGTACTGTGGCGAAACGTATTGAGCTGTGGAAGACGATGGCTGCAAGACTGTGTGATGTGGAATGCATAGCCACAGTGGGCGACCTGTCACCATATTTCGACCAGGTGACGGCTGCCGCCGAGTTGACCATCGGGCGCACAAACTGTAAGCGGCCTGATTGGTTTGATGACAACAATGCGACGATTGGCGCATTGGTGTCGGAGAAGAATGCAGCATTTGCTGTACATGTGGCAGACCTCAGTGACTTGGGGAAGAATAGTCAGTTTCGCAAACTTCGACGGCGACTGACCCGAGAGCTCCGTCGCATTAAAAATGCAAGATGGACGGAGAAGGCGAAGCAGATGGAATGCTACGCCGAACGCCGCCAACACAAGGAATTCTTTGACTCCTTGTACGCGGTGTATGGACCGTGACTGGGGCCACTGAGGACGCCGACCGATGGCAGTTTAGGCGCTACCTGTACACAGACTGCGCACATAATGCAGATCTGGCGAAAACAATTTGACTGTCTCTTGAACAACCGTTCAGAGATCGACTGCCCTACTTTGAACAGCCTGAAGCAGCACGATGTGAAGACGAGTCTGGCGGACACGCCGACACTGGATGAGACGCAGAGAGCACTTGCTCAGTTGCGAAACTGCAAGTGTGCCCGGGGCCGACGGGATCCTGCCTGAAGTATTGAAACACGGCGGACCCGCGTTGTTGACTGCGCTTCACCACTCGGTGCAACGTCCATGGATTGAGGAGGAGGTGACTCCTGAGCTGAAGGATGCTCTTGTGCTACCACTGTACAAGGGCAAAGGGAGCAAGGAATGTTGCACGAATTATCGTGGCATCAACTTGCTGAGTTGTGTGGGCAAGTTGATTGCCCGAATCCTGCTCAACCGCCTCGTCAGTCAGGTTGTGGAACCTAACGTGGCGGAAGAGCAATGCGGATTTCGTTCGGGGAGCAGCACTATAGATATGGTGTTTGCGGCTCGTCAGTTGAAAGAGAAGTGCAGAGAACGACACCAGCCACTGCACTCGCTTTTTGTTGATTTCACCAAGGCATTTGATACGGTGAACCGCGAGGCATTGTGGCTGGTGTTGGGTAAGTTTGGTTGCCCGCGTAAGTTTGTAAGTTTAATTGGATGTCTACACAGTGGTATGCGGACGAGGGTGCAGCTGAGTGGAGAGACCTCGGATGACTCTGCAGTTGTCTCTGGTGTGAAGCAAAGCTGTGTCTTAGCTTCTGCCCTGGTTAATATATATCTTCATGCAATGTTGTCCTGTGATTTTGATGCCGCTTGTGCTTACGGTGTTCGTGTGGAGCACCGTATTGATGGTGGGTCGCTGAACATCCGTCGTTTCGGTTCGAGAACTCTAGTCTGTGAGACAACTATCCGTATGTTGCTGTTCGCTGACGACTGTGCGTTGTTTTCACACAGCGCGGATGAGTTGCAGCACATGACTAGTGTCCTGGCTTCGACAGCGGCCAAATTCGGGCTCACAATCAACACAAACAAACTGTCTGTCTCTTTCAGTTTTCACCGGAAGTGCAATCTTCAATATTGGCGAGAATCAGCATTGGTGCTGAAGTATTAGAAACCACCTCCCGCTTTCGCTACCTTGGGAGTGTGATATCGACAGATCAGCAGTTACACAGTGAGCTGCGTATCCGCGTGTCGAAGGGAGCGGCAGCATTCGGGAAGCTTGAGTACCGAGTGTGGAACAACCGTCAGCTTACCATTGGCACGAAACTGATGGTGTACAAAATCCATGGTGCTGTCCGTTCTTCTATACGGCAGCGAAACGTGGACGATGTACCGGCGGGATGTGCGATATCTGGAGCGGTTCCATCAGCAGTGTCTGCGACGAATTTTGCGCATCGGTTGGGGCGACAGAGTTGCTGAGACGGAAGTGTTGCGCCGAAGTGGAAGGTATGCAGTGGACTGCATACTTTTATTGAGACACCTGAAGTGGATCGGTCATGTGAGCCGTATGGATTCGACGCGGATACCGAAGCAGCTATTATATGGTCAGCTGAGTATTTGGAAGCGGCATGTGGGGAAACCAAAGCTACGATAGCAGGACATGATTAAAGTGAGCCTCACACGTTCTAATCTTGATTGCAGATCATGGGAATCGAAGGCGGTTGATCGGCGTGCATGGCGCGATCTGATCACGAAGGCAGTTGCCGAGGTGCAGGAGAAAGCCCTCATGCATGCAGAGAAGAAGCGGCAAGTGCGGGAGCGGCAAGCACCGATGGGTTGTACTCCATCGACATCGAGCGCATGGTGCTGTAGCACATGCGGTCGCGAGTGCCTTAGTCAGGCAGGTTCAGTGAGCCATTAGGGAAGCCACTCTGTGCCACCTTGGAAGCGACGACGGGTCCCGCAGAGAACGTAGCCAGAACCGGCAAATGGTTTGTAGGTACGCTGCATTCAAGTAAATAACTGCGTGCTTGCATGCTAAATCTATTCATTTCAGGTGGTGGGTTTGCAATTTTGTCCTAATGCTTTTCTTTCTCATATAAATGTCTACCTGTACTCTCTTCTATAAAGTTGCACACATCGCTTAAGCCAGCTGTAGTTAATTTCGATAACATTTTCGTGTTTGTGGTATTTCCGCAAAATATACCTTCTGACCTCGTGAACTTAACTAGGATTCGTTTGAAGACAACTTATTTCATATGCCCATTAATTTAAGATTTATGTCACCGATTCCTTATGCATTACTCGATTTATTTTCTTCGTTATATTTCTCTCAAGTGATTGGCTGTTGCTTGATATCCCCGGTGTGGCTGCGCTTGATGTGCATGTTGACAAGGTGCCTACCTGTCTACTACCCACTACCTCGTCCATACTGCCTCTAGGATACAGTTGGCCGTTGCTGGAGGGGACGGGGTGCACGGTCCTTTTGGCCGTGTTAGCATCAAAGAGTGGTTCCATGCGCTCAGATTGGAGCGGACTACGGTCCAGCCATCGCCTCGTGTGCGCTTGATTCCCCAAATACAGAGTGTTTGTGTTTGCGTGTGCAGGAGTGTGGGCCGGATCCGTTGATGAAACGTGGCTCCCATCCACCTGCCTCCCGGTCTTATTCCTTCGGGTTTACACTGGATATGGGGGGTGTGGTTGGAGCTGTGGGTGGTGCAGCGCAAGCCACCCATGGTCCCTCTGTAGGCGCAGGCGTCCTGTATCTGTCATAGGGAGGCCACAGTGACAATCAAATCGGGATATGGATGCCGCCAACCAGATATATATATATATATATATATATATACATAAAACTATTGGTATATATATGTATATAGTAAGGTAAAATGGTGGTAACCAGCTTGCTAGTATGGCATACAGCAATACGAAGACAGTCGTCAAGTGAAGTTATAAGCAGGCATCTCGTGTACGAACAACAGCGGTTGAGGCGCAAGTGTAAATAAGAGAAAACGGATTTTATATGATCGCTCTAGTGTGGGATTGTGGTATACTTGGGACTGTTCGTCATACATACTTTGTGAAGCTGGTTGGAACTCCTCCGCCACTCATGTAGTAATCGCGGTGCAATAGGATATGACTGGCACCATGAGTTGGTTAGTATTAGAGGCCAATCTTAGATCCTAGCATGAAAGCGACTTTGCATCAGATCAACCGATGTGTCAGTAACCGATAACGACCATAGTGACTTGTTGCTGCAGGATTTCATGTCAATCCACTTAAGATGGCTGAAGAAACGAGACGGGATCTTAACGTGTTGCGACGGTTTGCGTATCTCTTTGACTCACTGACCTATATTAAGTGGTGTCCCAGGGCCTCTTGAGAGCTATTTTTACCAGCTTGGTTAGAGGTCAGATAAACACAGTCCCTGGTTCCCAAGGTTGGGGGTTTGAAATGGAATGGCGGAGTGACTTTTACGCCAAAGGCTTTGGTTGAGGATTTTAATCGTCCTCCAGTCTAGGTATGGGCGTCCTGACAGTGTCTCAGCCCACATACAGTCATAACAATTTCCACAAAATTCAACTACCGCCTACATCGGTGTTATCTGCTGCGTGCAGCATGGCGGATAATCAAAGACATGCTACAGCTGGCGCCCCCCTTCTTTCTATTTAACCTGTATCTCTTATCCCGACCCCCATTACTTACCTTCTTTCTATACTTCTCAGCTTGATCGACGGCAACTGTAGTCAAACCATCTGATGCTATCTTCCCGAACCCCACTGGAAGTCTATCGGCAATAGTCCTTTATAAGATCACGCTGTCCCGTTTCCCTTGCGGTGTAAAACCTTCTCACTCTAAGACAAATAGGCCAAATTAGTGCACTAGCACGCAAGTTAAACACACCAGGTACTGACGTGTGTTGCGTATCCGAAACTAGGATCAATGGCACTCACTGCGTTATTGAATTAACAGCGCCCGAATGGTATTCTGGCTGTTGGTTGCCCGCATACTGAGACACTGATGTGGTCAAGCTGAGGTAGACGTCGTACTCAGCTCCAACACTGAATCATCGTTGCTTGACTGGATTCCGGTGAATAACCGTTCGTGTGCAACCCGTTTGAAGACATAGACCAAGGTTGATTTACGCAGTAGTAGATGACGCTGCTTGTTTGAAGTTTCCGCTTATGCTCCCACTGACTGCAGTTCTGATGCTATCATGGACAAATTCTACTAAGAACTGAACATATATATATATATATATTTGCAAAAGTCTACGAATAGACATAATGCCATCAGAAACCATGGGATTCAAACGAAGATACAGAAATAGTAAAATAAAACACAACACAACAATGTCCATGGTTTCCTCAGAGGGCGAGATACTACACGGTTGGCCAAGCCGAAATAGGGTGTTGACATAGGGGACACCCCCCGAGCCTTTGGCTGAATAGCCTGTCCGCAAGGCAGCGGAGAGAATTCAGGGAATCGCGCCCATTGGGAGCCGGTGACTGATTGCTCAGTTCACACGCCTTTCGTTTGTTCCTTTGTCAAACAGGGGCCCAATGCTCCCCAGAAGTACAGCATGATGTTGCTGGAATATAATGCTTCGCCAGGATGAAGCAAGGGGCAGTGACTTTATTTAGTGGCGAGTCACGTCCGCCACGTCACAGTGTTGTTAAACGGACATAGGTGGCTTTTTATAGGGAGAACGCTTACCAGGCGAAAACCCACCACGTCCTGGAACACTGCCGCCGAACCATTTGCTGGAACGGGAAAATCCCGAACCACCCAGCTGGCACCACGAGGAGGTTGTTCGGCAAGCTACTACGCAGTGTTCTCAGTTCAGACATCAGGGGATATGAATGCACAAGTAGGCCGACTGGACTCTTCAGAAGCCCAGTTGGCGGGCAATTATGGGATTAATTCCGACAATGCGGACAACGAGAAGCGTCTTTCGCTACTGTGTGCGGAGCACTTACTGTTTCTTAGTAGCACTGCTTTTAGACACACTGGTCGACAAAGTGCTACCTGGCGTCCTCCTGTAGCTGGCCAGTGATGGACCCAAATAGATCACATTGCCATAAATTACTTGCCTCGAATCTGATCATACATTGGTACGCTGTCGCTTTTCCATGAAATTTATCGGGAGAGGCATCAAGTGTCTCTTCCGATTGGCAACTGAGGAATTATTCCGACCTAAAATAAAGAAGCTTAGGAAGATGCACTTCGTGCCGAACCTTCGCTGTCTTATCATAATGACATTAAGTTTCAGTGGGATAGGATCACGGCTGCCGTTCACGACGCAGGAGCGTCTGCTTGTAGTACTAGCAATCGTCACCGCATCAGTCACTGGATATCCGAGAGGTCAGTGAACCTGCTGGAGTCCAGAGGAAGCCTCCCTGCTGGCTCTGAACACAGTGTGATCAGAAGGAGCATTAGGCGCGAACTAAGGAGGAGCCTGTGTACTGACAAGGAAGCATGATGGGCCAATTAGGCACTACAAATGGAAGAGACGCTAGAAGCAGGGAATTATCACAAGCTCTTCTAGCTGATCCGCACCCAGCAAACCAGGCGTCAGTGAGATAAGCTGAGACAGCGCGGGTGCTCTGATTCACGATAGAGTGCGCCGTATGGCTCGTTAGGCGGAACATTTTCAAAGTCAGCACAGCTGGCCTCCTGCTTCCGGACCTCTTCCTACTTAGGCACAATGAACAATGAATTTATACGAGCTAAGATGCGTTGCTCCGTCGCAACGAGACTGGACCTTAACGTGGTGCGACGGTTTGCGTACCTCATTGACCGATTGAGCTATACTGGGTGATGCCTCCGGGCACCTTGAGAGCTACTCCTACCAGGTTGGTCAATGGGGAGAGGTCAGACAAACTCAGTCTCCTGGTCCTCCAGGTTGGGGGTTTGAAATGGGATAGCGTTCATTTCCGTAAAACTAAAGCATTGCCACCTCCCCGCTGCCTTGAGGACAGGCTTTTGAGCCAAAGACTTTGGATGAGGACCCTAATCGTCCTTCTCTCTAGGTCTAGGCGCCCTGGCAGTATCTCAGCCAACATACAACCATGATATCTTCTTCAAACATAAACTTCATCCTGCATCGGCCGTCGCGCAGATTATCAAGGGTCGCCTTATCTGCTGCATACAGCAGGGCGGATAAGCGAAAACATGCTACTGTTGGCGCCTCCCTTCTTTCTTTCCCACCTTTTTCTCTTATTCCCATCCCGACCCCCATTACTAACCTTCCTTCTATAATTCCCAGCTTAATTGACAGCAACAGAAGTGCCACTGGAGTAGAACCATCTGCAGCCACCATCCCACCGCACCTATCGGACGTCTATCGGCAACAGTCCCTTACAAGGCCATGCTATCCCGTTTCCATGGCGACATTCAACGTTAGCACTCTAAGACAAACAGGTCAACAGGCTGCAGTCACACGTACCTTGGACACACTGGGTATTGATGTGTGTTGTGTGTCCGAAACTAGGATCAATGACCCTAACGGGCTTATTGAGTTAACTGCACCCGGCTTATCCTCTCGTTATTGGTTGCACGCATCCGGAGACGCCGATGCAGCACTCACGGGTCAAGCTAGTGTAGGTATCATTCCAAGCTCCAAAGCTGAGCCATCTTTGGTTGATTGGATTCCGGTGAACACCCGCTTGTGTGCAGCCCGTTTGACGACATCAGCTAAGGTTGATTCACGAAGTAGTACAAAACGCTGTTTGTTTGTGATTTCCGCTTATGCCCCCACCGACTGCAGTTCTAATGCTGTCAGGGAAACATTCTATCACGAACTGAACGCGCTACTACGCAGTGCTAGTAGTTCAGATATTATAGTACTTGCAGGTGATATAAACGCACAAGTAGGGCGTCTGAGCTCTTCAGAAGCTCAGCTGGGTGGTAATTGTGGGCTTAACTCCGAACGGACTGACAACGGTGAGCGTCTGCTGCAACTGTGGGCGGAGCACCAGTTGTTTCTTAGTAGCCCTGCTTTCAGACACAGTGGACGCCGAAGTGCCACTTGGCGTCCTCCTGTAGTTGGCCAGCGATGGACCCAAATTGACCACATAGTCATAAGTTACAGGTGGTGTGGTTCCATCCTGGATGGCCGCTCATACTGGAGTACCTGTGTCGACTCTGATCATGCCTTGGTACGCTGTCGTTTCTCCATGAACTTTACCGGGATGCGCACCAAGTGTTCCCTACGATTGGCAACGGAGAATCTGTCTCAGTCCTCGATCAGGCAAGCCTATCAAGACGCACTGTATACCGAACTTCCGCTGTCTTGTCCTAATAACACTGAGCTTCAGTGGAATAGGATCTCGGCAGCCATGCACGACGTAGGAGCATCTGCTTGTGGCACTATCCATCGTCACCGCACCAGTCACTGAATATCCGAGAGGTCGGTGAACCTGTTGGAATCTAGAAGACACCTCCCGGCTGGCTCTGAACACAATGTGACCAGACGGGCTATTAGGCGTGAACTAAAGCAGAGCCTACGTGCTGACAAGGAAGTTTGGTGGACCAGTAGGGCTCAAGAAATGGAGGAGACAGGAACAGTAGGCAATTACCGCAAGCTCTTCCAGCTAATCCGCACCACTGGTCCCAGAAAACCAGGCGTCAGTGAGACAATCAGAAACAACACGGTGTGCTGATACACAATAAGGAGCGCCGTATGGCTAGTTGGGCGGAACACTCACAAGATCAGTTCAGCTGGCCCCCTGCTCCCGGACCTCTTCCTACTCAGGTGATGCAGGACGAGCCATGGACGGTTAGTTTAGAGCCTCCGTCGGAGGCCGAGGTCCGAAACGCGATCACAGTCCTCAATCGTTTTCGTGCCGCTGGCCCGGATTCCCTCCCACCTGTACTATTTAAGGATGGAGGTGAGATCCTCTGCAAAGCACTGACCTCCTTATTCGAACGTATCTGGAAGGAAGAGTGTGTCCAGACTAATTGGAGCGAATCGATTATAGTGGCAATATACAAGAAGGGCAGTCGCACAGACTGTCCTAACCACAGGGGTATTAGACTAACGCCAGTTGTGACAAAATTACTGACCTCCATTCTCGTTCGTCCCCTCACTGCGGAACGGGAATCTCGGATTAGGGAACAGCAGGCCGGCTTCCGCCCAGGACGTGGCTGTATAGACCATATATTCACTTTGCGGCAGGTGCTAGAGCAGCGCCACGCATACCGCAGATCAACGATGGCTGTGTTCCTCGATTTCAAGAGTGCGTTCGATTAGGTCGATCGATCGATGCTGTTCGAAATATTTGCGCGAAAAGGTGTTCCCACGAAATATGTGAACATCCTTCGTGTTCTATACTCGAACACTACAGGCCGCGTCAGGGTCTACGGTGGCCTATCGGATAGCTTTCTGACCATAAGTGGCGTTCGTCAGGGTTGTCCGATTTCCCCATTTTTGTTCAATTTCGTCGTGGATCCTATCATGGAGTGTTCCCTTGCGGAATCTCACGATGTAGGCGTTGAAGTGCTGCCTGGTGAAAGGTTAGTTGACCTAGATTATGCGGACGATATCGTCTTGCTTTTCGACGATGTTGGGGCGGCACAATCAACCCTGAATAGCCTGTCCAGAGTGGTCCCATTATTTCGTATGCACTTCGCACCTTCAAAGTGCAAAGTGTTGCTGCAGGACCACCAGCCACTTGATGACCCCTTGACGCTTGCTAACGAGGAACTCGAGTTGATTGATCATTTCACTTATCTTGGCAGCTGCATCGGCAATGATGGGCGCATAGAAACTGACGTCAGCTCACACATTGCAAAAGCCAGAGCTACCTTCTTGAACCTGCGGCATCTTTGGCGACAGAAGGGAGTTCCCCTCCGTCTGAAAGGCCGGGTATACAAGGCCACAGGGAGGGCCGTCATGCTCTATGGTAGTGAGACTTGGCCCCTTCGGTCTGAAGATCTGAGGCGCCTTCAAGTCTTTGATCATCGTTGTCTGCCAAGCATTGTTAGAGTCGGATGATACCAGCGTGTCCGCAACGATGATGTGTGTAGGCGAGTACTGGGTAGTGATAACCATGCTAGCTTCCTAGAACAACAGATAGCACTTAATAAGCTGCGTTGGCTCGGGCACGTGCTACGTATGCCTGGTCACCGCTTACCTAGGAGGGCCTTGTTTAGTCTGCCAGGTGTAGGGTGGCGCAAGGCTCGAGGTGGACAAAAGTTGACTTGGCAG